CTACGATCAGACTCTGAAATTTCCAATAATAATTGCTTAAGATAACTCTTTTCCTATCAATATATATTTTAATTACTCCTCTAAATTGGAGAATATTATGTATTATTTAGATTAATTTCAGATATTTTATAATAATTAAATAATGATTTTATAAATAATATTTTAACTTATCAAAACAATAATATAAATATGAGAATTCATGAGCATCAATATACTTTTTTAATATTATTAAAAAGTTAAAACATACTGCTTTCCATAAAATATCCTTCTTTATAGAAGTTACATTATAATTTGTTATTTACTATAAAACTGATTATTTTAGGCAGCTTTTAAAGAGATTTGATTCATTCAATCATTCTTATTTATATTACAAAACAATCAATTAGGTTGAAATTTTGATTGGACTTATGTTTTCGTTTAAGTCTTTATTACAATGGGGCCATGATGCAATCTTTTTTTGAGGTAAAACTATTTCCATAATTTCTGGCATTAAATTAAAAAAAAGTAGTTTAGTTATTGAAACCAACCAAATGCTTTTTAATATAAAATTAATTGTACTCATTTTAATCATTGCGATTTTAAAAGGCAATTCTTTTTCAAAGAATTTAAATAGATAAATTCCTTTTTCCCTTTCTGATAAATCACAGCAATTATTATTATCATTTTTTCGTTAAGGTTTAATTATAGGGTTTTCTTTAAGTATTAGCCTGAATATTATTTATACTATTTTATGTCTGCCTATTCAAATTTATGGTAATTTAACTCTTCTGTCTTTTTTAATAAATCACATATTTGGTTATTATTTCTATATAATTGTTTTAATCTAAATTCTATTATTGAAATTTAGATATTTATATTGATCAAAAATTATTTGCTATTTAAATAATAATTTTAATAGAAATAGGAAATGTAGATTAGATGTACCTAAGCTGATCATCGTAATCAATAAATAATGGGATTTTGCATAAATAGCACATGCCCAAATTAGAGGCCTTATTGTCACTATTGCTTGCCTCAACATAGTCAAAATCTTGACAAATTAACATATTTTGAACTTTTTAATGAATGGATTTAGCAAAGAATCATTAATGCTCAAAATGTATAAAAGAATGTTTAAGAGTGTAAATTATCTCTTGATTCTCTTCTAAATTAGTTGATTCCTTATTTGAACTTTAATATATAATAATTCTCAGAAATAGGAATTTCATAGATAGATAACATGATAAAGGGCTTATGTTAATTGGAAGGTTGTGAGGAAATATTATTTAAACAACTTAAATAATCTATCGAATAAATCAAATAGATTATAGATTAAATATTAAAAAACATAAAGAATTAAAAAAATTAAAAGGAAAAGTGTAATTAGTAATTTTTAAATTTTGACTTAAAACAATCAAAATTAGAATAGCCATAAAGACTAAGTTATTTTAAAGAAAATTCAAACCAATTCACCTTTGAGCTCATGAATTAAAACTCAATAAAGGTTGATTGGTGTAAAGCTTTTGCATTTAATAAAGATTAATCTTTTGTTTTAGCTGGATGTAGAAAGGATATTAAAGTATTTGAAAATCAATAAGGAAAATTGAATCAAGTCTAAATGTTGAGTAAGCATACAGATAATGTGCTTACTTTAAATTTTATGAAAAAGACAAATAATTTTGTATCTGGAAGTAGAGACAATTTAATTATAATATGGTAGGTGATTGGAAATAATTAATGGAATTGTTAATAAATATTAAATGGACATTCAAATTGTATATATTGTTTATTGATAAATAATACTGATGATTTAATAATATCAGGTAGTTGTGATAATACAATCAAATTTTGGATGAAATAGAATTCATGGATATGTTAATAAACCATAAGTGATCATACTAATTATGTATATTCATTAAGTTTAAATGAGTAATAAAATAAATTGATATCTTGTTCTGAAGATTCTTAAATATTAATAATAGAATAGTCTAAGTTGGATAAATAGTGGAGTGTTACATAAGAGATAAAAGTTGATTAATATGGATATCGATTATGTTTTATTAATGATAACTTATTTACATTCTAACCTAGATGTAAAGATTAAATGTATATATATGAATTGGATACTAATAATAAATAGTATAACAAAATTAAACAAATTGCAGTAAAGTGTGATTCAAGTGATTGCGATTGTTTATTTCCATAATAATACACAAAGTCAAAATGCCTACTTGTGAATAAGAATGGCAAGAATGTGAATTTAATGAGAAAGAAACAAAATGGTGACTTTATTATTTAATAATCTATTTAATTTGGTAGTGATACTCTTTATGGACAATTAAGTGATGATGGAGAGTATTTGATCACTTGGGATCATGGATCTAAAGAAATCTAAATAAGAAAGTATAAGGAATAATGAATATAATAAAATACAAATTATGAAATATGATAGAATATTTAAATTATATGTAATATTCAATATCTTTATATATTATAAAATTATTGTATTTACTTAAATTTAATCAATTATTGGTGATTTTCGTTATTTACAAGAAATTATGGAGTGATATTAATAAAAAGAATTAATTATAAAGTTTCTAATATATGTAGATTTAATTGGTAAATGTATTTTCTTAGATAAGAAAATTTATCACAGTAATTAATAAAATGATATTATATCGAATGAAATTCTCTAGATGAATAAAAAAAATAACTTAAGAAGTATCATTTAAAATATTAATATCATAGTTTTTAAAAGCAGAATATGTGAGAAACTGATAAACTGATTAAAATTGATAAAAAGGGATAAAATTCAATATTACAATGAGGAAATTTTTAAAAAGGTAACGCAATAATATTTTTGTCGCAAGTCAGCCCTACTTCATTTCTTTTAAAGATGAGATACTCAAAATTACATTTTATGGTGAAGCTATTGTATTGTAAAAGTAGGGATATAATTTTATATTTATAAAATGGAAATTAAAAGTATTTATTTAATATCAGTTTTATTACTTATGGAGTTATTTGGGCAATGGATAAGATGATCAAACAGCTCTATAAATTCTGAAGGTAATTAAATTATATTTAAGAAATATATGAGGATTTTCAGGTCAAATTCCAAATTTTATGATCAAGAAAATACTCAACCAATAATATGGTTTACACATTAAATTATGTTGAAATTAAAATGAAATAAAGTAGAAAATAACGAATCTGAAACTCATCAAATAAATAATCCCACTTAATGCAATTTCCTAGTTGATTGAAATGGATAACTATAAGTCAAATCAAAATAGATATTCAAGCAATATTAATAATTATGAATCTGTTTTAAAAGGGTAATATTTGCAAATTGGATTGCCAATTGAGCACTTCTATTCAATTGTAAAATTAAAATCAATCCAGAAATATTCTTAAATGACTTATCCTATTTAACATTTGTATATTTTCAAATAGAAATTAGTTTAGGATAATTAAAATAACACTTTACTATTTTTTCACGACTATGTAATTGCTGAAATTATTTTAGGTAGAAAAAGATCGACTTCAAGAACAATCTAAAAACTTGATATATTGTTATATTCCTTCTGTTTTTTGCTAACTATATGTTGATTAGGTTTGCATATTAAACTATATATAAAAAGGGCAAAACTAATAATTCTGAATAAACGGATCAACACGATTATTTATAAAGGAATTATCTAAGATTATTGAGATATTCACAAAGCATTCTATTCTGAATATCAATTTAGGAATTAATATTGATACTGTAAAAACACTGTTCCTTAAAGTGTAGGAATAATTAATTTAATTTTTTTTTTAAGTTTAGATATTCATTAGAATATTTTAGATCATAAGCAATTTATTTGAGATTACTTAATTTTTCGATAAATATTGAATACGAATTAGAAATTGCATATTTAAACGAAAATAAAAGCAATCTAAAAATGATGTTGATAAAATGTATTGGTAACCATTTTAAGCCATATTACTCTAAAAAATGATATTATATCAAATTTTAATTTTATACATGAAAATTTGAAAGAAATATAATTAAACACTTAATAAGGATCTAAGTTATATAATATAGAACCAAAATAAAAAAAATTCAGAGAAGGAATCACAAAATATTCCCTAATTATTTACTATTTTGTCCTAATATTTATATTGTAGAGTTTTAGCTTTCTAATTTAATCAATCAAATAGTGAAGATTAAGTTTCCTTCACATTAGAGAAGAATGCATTTTAATAAGTAATATGACAAATGTAGATGTAAGATAGTGTGTGGAGTTCTCTATTTTCATTTATGCCAATAAATGGATTCTCACAGTTATATTGAAATGGAATTGAATAGTTTCAGTTTAAAGAATGCCAAATATATCCTTCGAATAAAAAAAATTCAAAAAAAATTTTGATAAATAAGATTAATGGGATCTAATAATATGATCTGAATTGCATCTCATATAATAAACGCATCAATTATAATAGGATTTTGAAGAGTAAAGTATTTCAATTACCTTGTCAATATGTCAAAAATAGTTTAAAGGAGATCAATTTTGATTTCAAAAATGAAGAACTAATATTATGTAAATGCAGTTTATGCTATTCAAAACTGATTAATGTCTTTTGTTGGAAATATCTATTTTCACGAAGCATTTAATGAAGCTCTCAATAAATTTTATTTACATAAAGAATCAGGATAAGATATAGAGTTCACTTACAAATTTACTGATAATGAAAAGGAAAGTATGGTTGTCAGAAAAATTCTACCAACAAATAATCCTAAAATTAAAATAGTATAATTTAGTAAATAACTAGGTTTATACAAAATAATGATGCAATAAGAGATACTTCAAATTTAAGAAATTTTTATGGAGATGAAGGATTTTTGTTTTAATGAATGATGAGGAATATTGAAAGTTCTTTAGTAAAACAGATATTTAAGGTTACGTTTATAAAGCTTAAAGGATGACATAGAATATAGGTGAAATAAAAATCTAATACTAATAGGAGGGTATTCATGCAAATGTTAAAGAGCTAGTGGAAAAAACTAATCAAAATGCAAATCAAGATTAAAAAAATTCAACTTCAATTTAGCCAGAATGTAAATACAATTATACGATGATGTATTAAATTTTGACAAAAGAAGATTCAGTTATTCAGTTATAAGCAAAAATGAGTACTTATTTAAAAAATTAAATAAAAAAGTATATTTTAGTTTTTTTATTAGGCTTAATCATTTAAAGGAATATTTCCTCTCATAACCACTCCATTATTAAGTTATTATATATTATAAGCATTCTAATCTAGATTACCAAAGTATATTTATAAAAATATTAATATATATTAAGAATGAATTAATTTAGATTCTATGTAAAAAATCATAATTTTGTGAAATGCTCACATTAAAAGGAAAGCATTGCTAACTTATTTATTTTAATCATTTATTTTTAACAACGATATCATCATATGATCACTACCTCTCTCATAACTATTAATACTATTTTTTAACATTATTTTTAACTGTTATCCTTAAAGTGTATCTCCTAACAAAAATCTTTGTTACCATTTTTATTCTCCTTTATAAGTTATTTATTTTCATTCTAAAATCGCGATATAAATCAATCCATTTTAACATCTCCTTCATCTCCAAAAATTTTCTATCATAAAATTATTTTTCATTTTCACATATTAAAGCTTCACTATTTTACAATTATATTTTATGTTTACCTATTGCAATTCCTATTTACTAATTTTAATATTGGAAAATAGAATAAATAGAAAATTTCACCAATAAACAAAGTAATTCACCAATTATATTATTTAGGTTGTTATTTAATTAAATTCCTCTCACACACTATATTACATATTTAATTAAATAAGTTTTCTAATTTATTTAATATAATTGAAACATTGATTAAATAATAATAAATGTATTAAATTATTTAATTTCAGTCAAAATATTTGGATTTGCAGCTTAGCACATTAGATTGATTTACTAGATATTATTTCTCTCTTAAAAATAAGCATGAACATTGTTGTAGAATTTCATTGAGCAACCTACAAGATGACTCATTTTTCCAATCATTAAGGGCCCTAATTAAATGAAAATGAAAGTAAAATATTAATCAGTTGTCAGATATCTATAAAACTCATAGAAATAAGCTAAAGTTAAAAGCATAAATATCATTATATTGATGCCTCATAACAAATTACATAATTTAATTCAGATTTCCGATTACTAAATTATTTCCATTAGGTTGAAGAAAATGAGCCTCTACTAATTTTTAATTAAAAAAAAGAGTACAATCTTTGAGTTTGCTTCAACCTCAAGATTTAATAAACTTTAACTTACTTAAAACCAACTTCAAATAAATAAAAAAAAATGAAGCTGCTAATATGAAAATAAATTTAAATAAAAAAACAATAAATTTTTAACTCAAATATTTTTTTATCGAAAAACTTTAAAAATTAATAAATTTATCAATTAAACAGCATATATAGATAGTTTAAAATTACAAGAATAAATTTTTGAAGATATTTAAACTCTTGTAAATGAAATTTAAATTTTGTGAATTTATCAGAATTTTTAATTAACTTAAATAAAAGATAATACTCACTAATTAATGTATTGAAATTCATTAGTGTAGAGATTATTTACTTCTAGATCCATAATACCAAATATTTTTTGATATTATATGATATGGTCAATAGGCTCAGATGATTCATTAATCATTTTAAACTATCTTGAATCAAATCGAAATAGAATAACCTAAGAACTGTTAAATAAAAAGATTACTTCATACCTAACCAATCAAATGAATAAATAATTAAAATCTTAAAATTTATAGATTAAACATAAAAGTGATTTTTTCATTTCTTTGAATTGAATATACTATACATATTGCATTTGATTAATAACAATTATTTTAGATTTTAAATAACATTTTATTCATTATTATCTTAAAATCAGCACATTTGAGTTTAGTTAAATTTTTATTAAAGCTGATAAAACAAGCTTTTTTATTTTCAAGTATGAATTTAATAGAATTTAATAGAATTATTGTCTTAAGAAGAAAATCCTCTTGAATGAAAATTCATTTATTCAAAAGATAAATTAGAATTTAATTCAAGATTGAGTAATATATTTGAAAAAAAAATTAAAATTTTAAACATTAAAAAAAACAATGAAGTTAGTTCAAATAATAAATAGTAATAGAAATATAAGTCTTTTTAGCTGCTTATTTCGATTTCAAAATAAAAATTGATAATCATGCAAATTGTGTAATATGTTGAATTTCTCAAATATATAAAATCTTTTTACAGTTATGATATTGATTCATCAGATCAAATAAAAACAACTCATCAATGAAGCTTATTATTTAGTGAGATGTCTAATTTATTTAGTAACCGGAACTCTAAGAATATAATATCTACAAAAAGAGATAGAATATTTGTCGAAAGGAATAAACATTTAGACTATAAAGTTTAAATTAATTTCAAAGGAACACATATCAAACTAAATCAAAGAAAAAATATACATTTATACGATATTTTAAGAAATCAAACCATTCAAACTGAGAGAATTTTCAAAAAGCAAATTATAGATCAATTATCCTCAACTCCAAATCTTTACTAATTCTACTTTTTATGTAAAAAAATACTTTACATACTATTATTTTTTATTTGCAGTATTTAATATTAGAGTAATAGAAATTCAATATTAAAAATAAACGTTAATTAATTAAACTTTTTAAGAGAAGGAAGTTCTAGCTGACATCTTTACTTCAGATAAAGATGTTAATTAACAAATATTTGGTGTCATTTTAGAAATATTTCGATAGAATCTCTTATCATTTAATATTTAGAGGAATTTAAGTCTAAATGTTACTATATCTAATGAATAATCTACAGAGAAGAGAACAGTGAGCATAACGAAAAGGCTAAAATAAAGCGCTAAATGATTACTTAAAGAAAGCATTTTAACAAAATTATTCTTTTTAAATTATTTAGGATATTATGATAGCTTTACACAATTTATTATTAATTTTAAAAGGATTGGTATGAAAAGTTTAATTTAATATTAGTTAGAATTGTTGGTTTTTTTTCCTACATAAATAGTTAAGATATCTTTAATAACAANACAAGCAAACATTATAAATTTGAATTTATATATGTAATAAGTCAGAAACAAAGTCAAACTCTGTTATCAGATTATTGGTAGGATTATAAAATTGGCTGATCATATTTTAAAATCCTACCAATAAATAAAGCAATTTCTTAGTTTTGAACCAAATGCTACATTAATAACTTCAGTTTAAATTACTGCAAGATTAAGTTCTCTAAAAAGAAAAAAAAACTTTCTTACCAAATGCTAATGTAGCGTCATCAAAGGATAATGAAACTGTTAGTACATAAATACTATGGCCATGCAATTTTAATTTTTATTTACCCGTCTTTGAATCCCATAAGCCAACAGAATTATCTTCACTGTCAGTTACTAAAGTTCCATCAAGAAAATATTTTTCAGACAAATTGATTCCTATTTAAATCTTTTTTAATATTTCTTTTCATATAAACATTCAATAAACATAAAAACTACCCTGAATAAGACTTTAATTAAAGGCATAGTAGTTAATTTTAAATGTTTTTATTTCAAAGGAAAAAACAAATCTATTTTATAGGAATTATATTAAAAGAAATGTTATAAAAACGAAAAAAATATTTTATAAAAATTCAGGCCTTATACATTTATACGATATTTTAAGAAATCAAACCATTCAAACTGAGAGAATTTTCAAAAAGCAAATTATAGATCAATTATCCTCAACTCCAAATCTTTACTAATTCTACTTTTTATGTAAAAAAATACTTTACATACTATTATTTTTTATTTGCAGTATTTAATATTAGAGTAATAGAAATTCAATATTAAAAATAAACGTTAATTAATTAAACTTTTTAAGAGAAGGAAGTTCTAGCTGACATCTTTACTTCAGATAAAGATGTTAATTAACAAATATTTGGTGTCATTTTAGAAATATTTCGATAGAATCTCTTATCATTTAATATTTAGAGGAATTTAAGTCTAAATGTTACTATATCTAATGAATAATCTACAGAGAAGAGAACAGTGAGCATAACGAAAAGGCTAAAATAAAGCGCTAAATGATTACTTAAAGAAAGCATTTTAACAAAATTATTCTTTTTAAATTATTTAGGATATTATGATAGCTTTACACAATTTATTATTAATTTTAAAAGGATTGGTATGAAAAGTTTAATTTAATATTAGTTAGAATTGTTGGTTTTTTTTCCTACATAAATAGTTAAGATATCTTTAATAACAAAGATAGTGAAAAAGATATGTCAACAAATTAAAAAAATAAAGTTGATCCTAGATTATTTAAGCAATTAATTTAAACTAAAAAAAGTTAATATCATTAAATTTAATAATTATAAAAGTTATATATTAAAGCCAACAATTCGATAACAGTATTTATTAATTATATATAGATATAAAGTATTTCTGAATATAAAATTCTGTTACGATAAATTAATCATCAATAAGTATTATGTCCCCTAAAGGATTAGCATTAAGGATAAAATTAGATATACACTATTTATAATTTTTAAAGAAAAAATAATCTACTGCTACATTAAAAAGAAACTTTCAACAATACTTTTAAATATCTATAAATAATAAAAATTAATAAATCATTGAGATAATGTACGCATCATTTTATAGAGTAAGAACTACATAATTCACTTCCTACAAGATAATTTTAACAAAAAACGAATATCAAGGTATAAATAAGCTTTGAAAAACTGTATTCTTTTGATGAACTTGTCTACCAGAAAAATTTAAAGTTATTTAAATTCATTAAGAAATTACTCAAAATTGTTTTAATTAATTTAAAGCAAATCTATTGAAGAATAAAAAAGGAAATTATAATTGGTATTCTTAGAAATACATATGAATAGTGTTAAAATATTTTAATTTTTCATCTCTAAAAATGAGATTAAATTCTTTAATATTAGAATAATTGGATAGGAAATTTATAACTAAAAACTAAATAAAAAAAGAAGAAAATCAATGATATTGATTATTGAGTACAAATATATATATGTCTATTTTCTTTATTAAAAAATTAGAATTATTTGACTTTTACATTATCCAAAATGGTAAAATTCGATAAAATGAAGGGGTGAATCAAAATCACATCATTACAAAAAAAAACCAACCTTAATTATATATTTTTAATATTCTAGAAATAATAATAATATCTCATTTTTGAATTGTACTTTCCAAAATATTAGTGTTAACTAAATAGTATAAAATAATTAATACCCATAGGGGGGTTGTTTTATAACAAGGAAATATTGCCATTTTCCAAAATTTCGTTATTACTATTATCCTAGAATAAAATTTCTAATGCTGTTGTGACATCCCATAGGCAGACAGACTTATCGTAACTACCCGATGCTAATTTATTTCCGTCAGGAGAGAAACATACTGAGTAGACAGTTCCAGTATGACCATCTAATTTGGCTTTCTATTATCCTGTTTTAACATCCCATAGACGGATAGAGTTATCATCACTACCAGAAGCCAATGTTTTTCCATCAGGAGAGAAATAGACTGAGTAGACAGTTCCAGTATGACCAATAAATTAGACTTTTTATTACCCTGTGTTAAGATCCCAAAGACGGATAGAGTTGTCAGTACTACCAGAAGCTAATTTATTCCCATCAGGAGAGAAACAGACTGAGTTGACACAACCATCATGACCATCTAATTAGGCTTTTTATTATCCTGTTTTGACATCCCATAGACGGATAGAGTTATCATCGCTACCAGAAGCTAATGTATTTCCATCAGGAGAGAAATAGACTGAGTAGACATGATCAGTATGACCATCTAATTAGACTTTTAATAACCCTGTTTTGACATCCCATAAACGAATAGTCTCATCCCAAATACAAGATGCTATAATATTTCCATTAGGAGAGAATCTGATTGAGTAGACTGGTAATTTATAACCAACAAATTTGGATATTTTTTTTTACTCTTAACATTCCATAAACAGATAGAGTTGTCATTACTACCAGAAGCTAATGTATTGCCATCAGGAGAGAAACATACTGAGTTAACTTTATATCGATGACCATACAATTAGGCTTTTTATTATCCTGTTTTGACATCCCATAGACGGATAGACTTATCATCGCTACCAGAAGCTAATATATTTCCATCAGGAGAAAAGCAAATCTATTTGACTGAACTAGTATGACCATTTAGTTTATTTAATTCATGGATTCTTAAGTTTACCAATTTACAATTAAATTATAATGCTTCATACAAATATATTAGACTTATGTTAGCATTATTAAATTAGGATTCCCTAAGATTACACAAAACAAGCTTAGCTCCTACTAAAGAAGTATCTTCGATCTTAATATTTTTTAAATTTTGGTTTCTAAGGTTTGCCTTCATCTAAACTAATATATGTAATGAATTAGACCCACATTCTATTAAAGTATTATCTATAGATGTGAGGTTAACTAAAAATTATAAAAATTTTATGATCTTTATATCATATTTTATTCCTATAATTAGATCCTTTACAGATTCTTTATATTCTTCATTTGAATAGTCTAACTTATTGAAATCATGATCTTTTATTTTTTTTAAGACATCCCTAATTATTTTCATGTCACTTCTAATAACAGACAATTTCTATTCATTCTCAACCTTAGTTAAGTTCTTTCCTTGAATAATTTATTATTCTAAATGTATTTAAATCCCATTATTTGAAAGATGTCCTAAGCAATCTTAAACTTTTTCTTTTCGAAATATTTATAATATGACACCAAAGATTTTTTGATCTACACCTTTTACTTAATCAAAAATGTCAGCTAGAGCTTCCTACTCTTAAAAAGGGCCCTGCATTTTCTTTTTTATTTTTAATTTTGAATTTCTTTTACTCTATCATAGGGTTATAGACTGCTAAATGAATATAAGTATCTTATGCATTTCTGTAAATTTGAAAAACCGCCTTTATATAGATTTGGAATTGATTATAATTGAGATATAATATGCTAATGAGTATTCAATTCTACATATTCATTCTTTAATTCTTTAATAATATAGAATGACTTTTTATTTTTAAGAATGTATATAATAAATAATTACTAGATTTGGATGATCACATCTTAAAATTCTTAATTAAGTATATTGGATCTGTAGCTGTTGCGAAACTTGTTATTCTTTTTTTTTTCTTTAAGAAAAGAGTAATTGAAATTTTTTAAATATTCTTCTAAAATTTGTTCTATATTTTGTCTTAAAAATATTTTAGTAAGGGGAAAATAGTGTAAATGATGATAAGATGAATTTAGATTTGCATAATTTTACTCATTTGTTTGATTCTTCAAAAATTATGTAATTTCTTAATGTAGTTATTTAACTGTAAATTTCTTAGGTTAGCAAAATTTAGGCTGTTGTGAGGAATATTCTTGTCTGGATATTAATTTCTGCTAAAATCTTCTTGAAAGTTAAGTGATTATATAGTTTTGACTCTTTTAAATGCTGCTTACACATACATAAAGAATTGTGAAAATTTACCCCTTTGCTTGAAATAGAGCTAAATTTACAATTTTAACTTTTTCCCCTGTGGATAATAATTATCAAAAATTGTAATTTTTAAAAAGGAATCTAAAACTATTTTGGTGATATTATAATATATAAACAAATATAATTTTTAATATAAGATATTCTTTGAGAAATTTCTTCTTGTACTTCTGAAGAATGTTATGATGATGTTCCATTATTCGGATTCTTATTGTGAGTGGATTCTTCTCTATTGAACCTTTAGTCTGTTTCGAAAAAGATTTCATCTCAAAAAATATTAAATATAATTACACAATATATTTCCACCAACCAACACACCACCAAAGGTAGTAATCTTTTACATCCTAAATAAAAATATGATCTCTAATACAATTGCCATATTGTAAAACTCTAACATTTATATACCATCTGCTTTATTTCATGATTGAGTATTCGAAAAATGTCTTATTATTTACTTCTTAGAATTTGAAATCAAAATGGGTTAAGAGTCAAGGGCTGATATATAAGAGGCATACCAGAAGATTTAATTAATTTGAATAAATATCATCATATTATGTTAAATTATTAATTTAAACAGGTTTTTTTTTGATGAATTCTTCCAAATTTATCATAAAAATAATTTAGCTTTTTAATGAAATCAATAAAATTTATTCACATTTTTGTTGCAAATTTTAAAACAATTAATTATGCTAATTAAAATCATTTATAAATAAATAATTTTTATTTGTTTGCTTTTTTAATTATATATCATTTTTTCCTAACAAAAAGAAAAAAATAAATTTATATCAAACCATTTTTGGTTAATACAAAAATAATTCAAATAATAGAGTGTAGTATTGAATTTTTACATTCTTAAGCCAGACAAAACGCTGCTTTCTAAAATTTTATTTTCATTTGGGAATTTGGAATGATAATCATAAATAAAAATTACAAATAAACCTGCACCCTTCATTCTTAATATAGAAAACTATATCAATCTAAATTAGATAAATATACTATATATAAATTTAGAATTAAGTTAATTTAGGATGAAACAATTATTAGATTTTTATGATAGAAATTGAATAAATTTGAGATTTACAATTATGAACATTAAAAAATAATTTTTCAAAAATTGATTTAAAAATTATTTTTTAGATTGGATCTTCTTCGAACAATTTTCACCATAATCTGTGGAGAACGTACCCTATTATTTGTTAAATTATGAAGAGTACAATTATTGCAATTTTCTGTCAAAAATGTAAAACTAAAATTGTATATTTATATTAATGGAGTAGATAATTTAGTCCTTACTAAATCTTTATCCTCAAACATTTTGCCGATTAACAAAAATAGCATGAAAATATTTTTAAATAAAAATTTAAGAATCATTAGTTCTAATTTTAAATAAGAAATTAGATAAGAAGCTTAATATCAAGAAAATATCACATTAACCTTTTTTCCTAAATAAGAAAATAATCATACTTAGGGTACTTACCAAATAGGTTTTTGAAATTTGCTAAAGTTAATAACCATATAAATTAATGATTCAATTGTAACTTTTTAAGGAACTAAAATGCTGTTATTAAAAAAATAAAATAATCGCATAAATTTAAAAGAAATTAATTTTTAGTTTTTTTATATATCATACTATAGTAGGAGATAATTATCAAAAAATAAAAATAACTTATAATTTTTCTGAGGATGCATCTTCATGGTGGTCGAAAAACCTCTTTGGCAAAAGTGTGAAGCTTGGACAACTGAAGCCTCTATGGCAAAGGAAGGATTTAGGCTATGGCATTATCTTACATTCTGTCATCCTTATAACAAATAAGTAATATATTCATATGTGCCTTAAAATCTCTGAATAAAATCAATTTTACATCTCTTTCTGACCATATTAAATGAGATTCCTTTGGGCTTAAGGAGGGGGTCAAAATCCTCTCTGCCTACGATCCCGCTGTGGTAAGGGTTATATGAAAGTGGAAAGTAGGATTTTTCTAAATAATGATGATTTGAGAGCTCAGGAAATAAATTTGGATACTTCCTTTGAGGTGGAGAATGCCAAAGACCTCCCAGAATCCAACCCAAAAATTTTTTTTTTAATTTCGAAAAGAACAACCCTAAATAAAAATCAAAATTGTATCTATTAATTTGAACATGAATTTGAATTCTTAATTGTTATATAATAATCTATTATTATAAATTTTATTCTTTTTATGAGTCTTTGTGGAGATGCTTTTAACCACCATAAGTGAGTGTTGGAAAAATTTTCAAATTGTGAAATAAGTAAGGATCCTTTTTTTCTAAACGACAAGATCAATTTTTATCCTCATATATCAAAGAATGGAAGTCCCTAATCATTTGGTAGTCCAACCAAAATTGTATCCCATATTCAGTGATAAACAAGGAAACCGCCTCTTCATGTTTAAAAAGCTTTCAGATCGCAATTACTGGTAAATTTCTATGCTTCTCTCTGGTCAAATTCTTCCTTCCAATCTCATTGTCTCAGAAAAGATTCAACAATCAAGAATATTGTTTTTATATAAAAAAATAAGATACTCAAGAAGTCATTAAAGGAAAAAAGTTGTATTCTTTGAGCCAAAAATGTTACTTTTAAATCAAAATTTATATTTACTGAAAAAAAGTCTAAGAATGGTTTTGGATGTTTAAGTTATAAATGGATTAAAACTGCTTAATATTATTTTACTAATTGATCACATTTACTAATCGAAATTTTTTTGCTCCAATTAGTTTATATGTTAAAGTAAACAGATATAAAAACATAATCTTAATGATAATGCAAAAATTACTTTTTTGAATTCAAACTAATGATAAGATTATTTATATAGAAGCTGAACCAATATATTGTCAACCATCAAAATGATTCAAACCAAATGATAAAGCAAACAGATGAGATAAGAATATAATTAATTAATATTTTATTTAGAAATTTGTGATTTATCTAAACAAAAATATATTGTTGAAATGATTATTGTGATTTTAATTATCTCCAAATTTGTTTCAAGGCTTATTTTTTTTAGCGAAAATTCAGACAAAAAATAATAAAATAATATTAACTTTTAGATTTATATTTAATAAAATAATTATCTCATTATTCTTTGAATATCCTTATTTATATTTCCTATTATGTCTAATCCCAAGTAATCAAATATTACCCATCATCACTCAATTATCCATATACATAATTTGTGCTAAACTCAATAGATTACTCAACTTTAAATTCAGCATTTTCTGTAAATCTTATTAAATTTACATATTTGTCATGCTTATTCACAAGTAATTATTTTTATTTAATAAATTATTATGGAAATAATCGACAACCTTCATTTCCTTGATATATTGTAATATCTTTTGATTTTGTGAATTATTTACTTACACTATTCATCTCATAAACATACATCAAATTTCCATACTTAGGTTAAAATGTGAATAGATTATTGTTGATAAAACATAATCGATATCCATAACAATCAACTTGTATTTTTTATTTTACAATCCAATTTTTATTAGGTTCTGATTACTCAATTACTAATATCAATTTATCCTCTCCACAAGATATAACTTGATTTTGTAAATCATTTAAACTTAATTAATAGACATCACTACTATGATCTGTAATAGTTTATTAACAGATCCATTGATTCTTTTTAACCCAAAACTTAATCGTCTTATCATTACTACTAGATATGAAGAGATCTTCACGATTATTCAAAATAATGCATCTAATACAATTACTATGACCTTTAATAGTTTATGAATAAATCCATGAATTCTTATTATTATTATATAACCAAATCAAAATAGATCCTTAATCTCCAGAAATCAATTAATTTGATTATTTCATAAAATTTAAAGTGTAAACATCACTCTAATGTTAATTTAAAACTTGATTTAATTTCACCATTCCTTATTTGAATTCATATATTTTAATTAATTTATTACACACTATTGCTATAAGTGAACAATCTTTAATAATAGCAACTGCCCAACAAGATTCTTGTTATTTAATAGAATTAGCTTATATTATCTAATAACTAAATGGTTTAAGAATGAGTTAAGATGGAGTTTCAATTATATTTTATTATTATTTTGCTTTAATATCTAATGGAACATTTTCTTTCATGTCTTTCTTCAACTTATCATTAGAAGCCTAAATTGCTTTCTCCAAACACTCCTTTAAATTTTATAACTTCTAAAAATAAGAATTCTTCTATGTTTTCCATTCGTTTAATTTTTTTCCTTATACAATTTATACTAATTTCTCTAAGTCAGTATTTGACAAATCTTTAGGATTGAAATTGTCGTTCATGATTTTCAAAAATGATTTATCCTACATTTCAATTGTATCATATATTTTTTTGATTGATTCATTTAACTTTTGCCAAGTATTCTTAAGCATGCTTTCAATTTGAGAGAGAATCTTTAAAAAATTCTTTCTTTATTCGGTGAATTCAGGATTTTGATCAATCTTAGATTCTTTTATTTCCTTTATAACCATATCTCTAAATCTATGAGTCGGTACTGTATATATAATATCAACTCCATGTTGATATTGGCAATCAATGCAAAGTTTTCTTTTGCATTAGCATTAGTGAGGGGCAATACAAATGGAAGTTATTGGAAATTTTATATGTTGAGTGCAATTCATTTACTTTTTTTTTAATTATTATTTTTTTACTACTTTCCTTTATTTTTTACACTTCAAATAAAAAGTACCTGGAAGATGAGAACAGGACTTCGTTCAGATTTGGTGGTAGATTGTAATTGGCATTGGAGAGTGGGAAATCATATAAGTTCATTCATAGCTTTATTCATTAAGAATACAGAAAAATTCAATATTATGCTAAAAAGTTTTAATAATTAATAATTTATATTTATTATTTGATATTTAAAAATATTTCTATTTTGTTTGGGTTATTGATCATTCTCATAAAATTAACTAACTTATTTCCGGTTTTGTTTGTGGATCAAATCTAAATTTATTATTCAGTCTTTTAACATTACAATTTTTTATTGAGTTATCAATTATCTATCGAATACCTTTTTCTTTTAGATCTGCTTTTCTAGTCTTTATTATTTAATCTATATCACTTGTTCATTTTGGTTCAAAGGTCATTTTATTCAAAAATTAATGTTCAAGTATAATTAATTAAAAAAATTCTAATTATTATATTTTATAAAAGCTAAAATTATTTGAAGAACAAGATCGATAAAATAAAATTGAAGGATAATTATTTATAATAAATAATGGTATAAGTTAATATAGTGCTTAGTAATAGAATATGGATGTTTTATGTTACATTCCTTTAAAAGATGATTCATTAGAATAACCAATATCGATGAGATTTAATATGATTATTTAATTAAGATGTGATTTAATAATTTTCAGTTTTTTGATTTATTTTTTCAATAGCCTGACAATTAAAAATTAAATAGCCTTAAAAAATTCAAAGTTTTTAGATTTGATTACAATTATTAGAAAACTTTAACAAAATAATAATCAAACCTTGTGTAATAAAAATTAATTCTTATAGCTGAATATTTTAGTTTAAATCATTGCCTATCATTCTATCCTATAATTTTATTGCTATTTTTAGATGAAATGATCACTTAATTAGATGTTAATCGATTTAATATATCTGATTTGACTAAAGAGATTTTGATTTTATTTAGCATAAAATTAAAGGATAGAAGATACCAAAAATCAAACCTAACAAATAATATTCATGGTAGTGTTTAGGTCTTGAATTCAATAAAAAAAAAGGGAGCATAAATCGATGATTATGGATTATCACATTTCGATATAAATCTTCCTTAAAACTTCGCAAATCTTTCCACCATTTTCGAAGGGGTTACAGGATCCCTGGCTTGGCAATTATTAGCGCATCCATCCAATTTAGGTACTTTCTAAACTCTATGTATGTATATAAGTAGATCAGGGTAATAAATTTTCGTTAATTAAGCGGTTCAATTATTATTAAAAGTCATTGCATAAAATGTTTCATCTAATTTGAATTTGTTCATAAATTTCTGAGGCTCGGATCCTAATAGGACGTTAACTAAGAGTGATCTTCTCTTGCATATGTCTACATTTTTTAGGGGTAGGTATATTCTGAAGAGATAGTTGGGCCGTTTTTAGATAAGCTTTGATTAGAATTGAGACTGGGATATGATAATAGATGAGTGGGAAGTATGTCTCAGTAATCTAATGATGTGGTCTCTCCAATCTAATTTGGATTGCATGGAATAGTGGTGCTGTGATAAATATAGCCATTGCTAGGATATTAAAAGATTAGACGAAAAATTAGAATTGGTAAAGAATTTAATATTCTGTCATACAATTATTTCTTTTGAATTTTTTAGAATTAAAAAAGAAATAAAAACTTAATATCAATTATTTAAATATTTTATCTTAAGGAGGTATCTATAAATAAAATATACTTTAAATAAAATTTTAATTTCTTTAGGTACTTTCACAAAATATTTCCTTTTACATACTCCATTCCTTGGTAGTGAATTGGTTGATATATCATATTTCCACCTTTTTTATCCTTAGAAATAATTCATCTAAAAATTAGATGGAGCTTACTCAAATGAAACATGAAATTCATTAATTCTTATTCACAATTTGAGATATTCAGATGCACAATCAAATTAAATTTTCTTAATTTAAATGCAATCTTCATTATTATCTTTAATTAACTATTCATAAAAATTATAAATAAAAATATATTAAACATTTGCTGCCAAATGATAAATCATGATTAGGATTTAATAGAATCAAATGATTCATTTATATTAGAAAAATTAAATTACCTTTTGTATCTAATATGTCTCGAAACTATAGTATAAGCTTTATTAATCGATATTATAAATTTGTTTGAAATGCTCAAATTTATAATCAATTTTTAGAATAATAAATTCTTTTACTTTTTTTTTATTCTTTGAATACTTATTTATTTAATAAACCAACATGTTTGGAATTAATGAATAATGCACTATCTAATAGATTTATTGCTTCCTCATGTTATTCCTTTCCTTAATATATGACAATTTGGGTAACAATGATTAAGAATGATATGTATCTTCAATTAATCATCATTTGTTCTTATTTATTTAATTAAGAACAATTTGGTCTAATAAACTTGTTTTAATTTCATCATATATGTCAAATGAAAAATAATTATTGAAAAACTGGATATATTATTATCTAATAATCTAATTTTTATTGTTACAATTAAGAATTTTATAATCGAAAATATGAAAATACAGCTTATAATATTAAGCTAAATCAATATAAAATTACTTTGATGATTTACTTTAGGTAAATTGATTAATTTAATATGAATTTCTTAAAATAAAAATTATGAACATCATTGATTTTTCAAGATAAATGGAAGCCATCTCATAATTGTAATATACCGAAGACTATAATTGAAATAACCTCTCCTTCAATCATTAAAATATATAAGCAAACTATAATTTAATTCAAATTCTTGAATCTATTTAGTGACATAACTTCAGCAACCTCTCTTAAGCCAAATCAAAATGCTTTTTCAATTTCATTAATATTTAATAATCTCAAAACTAAAAGAAATATTTATGAACCTTTTTTACAATTCGATCAATTAGAATAAACAAATGAAAACCAGTTTAGATTATTACTAATTACTTCCTGTCTGTTAAATATATTTTCTATATTTAATTTAAAAAAAATATAATTACATTATAGATAATATTTCTAATAGGTTGTAAATTTAGTAATCTAAATTTCTGGTATCTTGAATTTCTATACATAAAAAATTATTTGATATTTATAGTATCAAATAGGCAAAATTTAATGATAATAAATCCAATTAAAATAAGACTATCAAAATATCTATTTTGAAATTAGATCAACATCTCCTTATTAATTCAAAACACATTTTAAAGATTTTCAATATATATTGCATCTTTAAATTACAATGATATTATTAATTAGAATGAATTTAAAAATCCTTAAATAGTATTAACTTTCAAGAAAAATTTTAAAAAAATTAAAATTGATGTCATATATATATAATATATATTTAGCATTAATATTTAAATGCCTAAAGATATTATAGATTATATTTGACAAGGGTAAGCCTTACTCTTTAATTTGATGATGTTTTACTAACCTAATTTCAATCTTTGGCATTGATTGAGATATAAATATTTATATAGTTATAGCCTTAAAGATTTTTTTTTGTTGTTGCATGATTTATACAATGAAGTTAAAAGAAAATTATTGTATTATTTTCGGATTAAATTATTGATGTTTAAAAATGGTCTTGACATTGTTGTAATTAGATTAATTTCAAGAATAATAAAGTTTAATATAGAATCATTAAGAATTTTAGGTACAAAATCTTTTTATGTATTCATATTTAATCTTAAGATAATTTATATTATTAACTTATTTTTAGACAGCCCTCCTTTTATTTCATAATTAAAAATTTTAACTTTAATAGTTTACATTCTTGCAATAAATTACTTAAATATTTTTAGTGTATAAAAACTGTAGATTACACTTTTTTATTAAATATTTTACTCAAAGTGCTC